CAATGCAGGTAGAGGATTCAGTCAAGTGGAGTCTTCCATGAGAGATGAGATGGACTCGCTTATGTCAAATCAGACGTGGAATTAGTTGAATTACCAACAGGCAAGAAAGCACTCCATAACAAGTGGATTTACATGATTAAAGAATAGCACAATAGGAGCAAATGCTACAAAGCAAGATTGGTTGTCAAAGGCTTTTAGCAAAAAGAAGGTATTGACTACAATGAAATTTTCTCTCCAATCATGAAGCTATCTACAATTAGACTGGTGTTGAAAATTGTAGCTGCAGAGAATTTACATCTTAAGCAGTTAGATGTGAAGACAGCTTTCCTTCATGGTGATTTGGAGGAAGAAATCTATATGAGGCAGCCAGAAGGCTTCATAGAGGAATGCAAGAAAAACCTAGTATGCAGGTTGAAGAAGAGCTTGTATGGTTTAAAACAAGCTCCTAGACAGTGGTACAAGAAGTTTGATAGTTTCATGAGTAGCAGTGGTTTTACCAGATGCCAAACAGATCATTGTTGCTACATCAAGAGGTTCGAAAACAACAACAACTTCATTATTTTATTATTGTATGTTGATGACATGCTCGTTGCAGGCTCAGACATACAACAGATTATACACTTGAAGCAAAAATTGTCGAAGCAGTTTGCTATGAAGGATCTGGGCGCTGCAAAATAGATTCTTGGGATGAGGATTAAGAGAGACACAAAGTCGGGGACTTTGATGTTATCACAAACTGAGTACATCAACAAAGTACTCTCCAGGTTCAACATGCAAGATGCTAAATCAGTAAGTACACCTTTAGGTGTTCATTTTAAACTCTCCAAAGAACAATCGCCAAAGACGGAGGAAGAACGTGCACACATGGTGAAGGTGTCATATGACTCAGCAATTGGAAGTCTGATGTATGCCATGGTTTGTACCAGACTAGATATTGCTCAAGCAGTGGGAGCTGTTAGCAGGTACATGAATAATCCGGGCAAGATACACTGGGAAGCAGTCAAATGGATCCTTAGATATTTGCGGGGTACTAAAAACAAAGCACTTTGTTTCAAAGGTGGAGATACGATACTGACAGGCTATGTAGATGCTGACTTAGCCGAAAATGTTGACATCAGAAGGAGCACTACAGGGTATGTCTATACTATATGAGGAACTGCAGTGAGTTGGGTTTCTCAACTACATAAGATAGTTGCTCTCTCCACAATTGAAGCAGAATATGTCGTTGTTACGGAAGCCAGCAAGGAGATGGTCTGGCTCCAAAGTTTCTTGGAAAAGTTAGGCAAGAAACAAGAAAACAATGTCTTGTATTGCGATAGTCAAAGTGCTATCCATCTAGCAAAGAATCCGTCTTTTCATTCCAGGACGAAGCACATACAATTGAGATATCATTTTATCTGGTCTCTTCTGGAAGATGGGATTTTGAAACTTGAAAAGATCAATGGAGCTCAAAATCCGGCAGACATGTTGACAAAGACGGTGACTACGGACAAACTGAAGTTGTGTTCAGCTTCAGTTAACATGCTAGAATAATAAGACTATAAATGTTGCTGCATCGATCGAGGTGTGAAGACAGATTAAAATCAGTCTTCAAGTGGGAGATTGTTGAAATTTCTTCAAGCAGTCGGCGGCTGCAAAAACAAGTGGGGAGGGTTGCTAAATTTTTTTATTATTTTGTAATAGGGATAATTACAAAATTGAGTCATTGAACTTTAGGATATTTACAAGATTAGCCCTTAAGCTTCAACTATAAATACCCTAGCTCATTTAGATTCAAAATCATCCCAAAATCCCAAATCATTTCTTTCTCCCAATATTAGAGAGTTTTCTAGTGAGTAGTGAGTGTTTTGTAAACACCTGTAAATTTTCTCTCTTAGTAAAAGATCTGCAGCAGTCCGAAGACGTAAGCAAATTGGCTGAACTCCTTTATCAATTTCGGGTATTATTTTTTCGCTTTTATTTCGTATTCTCAATAATCTGGTTATAGGAAAATTACTCATACTCGGTTATTTCCTAACATCACTTACTCTAGACTCATATTTAAAGGTAAATGTTTTACTTGGGATATCTTAAATAAGATGAATTATCCATTATTTATAAGTTAAATAGTGTGGACAAAAATGTAAAAATATCATGTAACTAAACCATCATAAAAAATGCTTTAAACTCAAGCATTAAAATTAGTATTAAAATGCTTTAAATGTAGTTATAATGTTAAAATTATCCCACAACATTTATCAAAATAATCATTTTTGTTTCCTATTTTATTTTTTGGAGCATTTTAGCTCCCAACATTTCATTTTAGAGCAAAAAGAACCATAACATTTGACATAATAATTACTCTATCCCTTATTATTTTTTTGGGATATTTTATCCCACAACGTTTCATTTTAAGTTCAAAAAAACTCATATTTTGAAGCGATAATCGTGTATTATTTAATAGTTTTCATCTATAAAGGAATTTTTATCTTAAAGTGAAATATTATTGGCTAAAATAATTTAAAAAAAGAATATAAACCAAAATGACTATTTTTATAAACGTTATGGGCTATTTTTGGCAATTATGCCTTAAATCTAAGCATTGCCAACAATGTTATGGTTTGAATTTAACAGGATATCTTTTGATGTGGTGAACTTTTAATTAATCCTTTTGAAATCTTGTATAGAGACAAATGGTAAGCTTACAATGTAAGCTCCATATTCCAATGAAAGCTTACAAGGCAGATGTGGACCTGTCAGATTGAGCCAACTCTTTTTCTTCTTCTTTTTTTAATTTAATCGTGATAAAAACAATATTTCAAAGGATTGTTATTTTTTAAGTTAACAAGTTTATTTAATACAATTAAATTTAAAGTTTTGAAAATTCTATAGTATTCAAATTATTATTATTATTAATATCAATCAAAATATTATATGTATAATTTTTCAATTAAAATAAAATATTTGAGATAAAATTATTCTAACAAAATAATGAATCACTTATTAGTATACCGTCAATTCTAGTTAAAATAGATACATTAAATGAGAATCGTATATCATCAAATGAAAAGACCTGAAAAAAATATAAATTTTGAAAGAAAAAATTACACTAACTTACTCAAATAAAATTAAAATTTATACAATATAATTTTTTTATTTTTTAAGAAAAATAAAATTTTGATTAAATATAGAAAAATAAAATCTTAAATCTTTAACATATATAATATTTTCCTCATTAAAACATTCCATAGATCTGTAAAATATATAAAACTAAAGATTATTAATAGATGAATTATCTATAGGTGTTTGATTGGATTAATATAGACAATGAATAAACTAAAAAAAGCATGTTAAGTAAAAAAATGTAAAAATAAAAATAAAAACAAAAATAAAGAGAAAAGAAACATAAGCTAAAAAAAGTTGATTATGATCCTTGGAGTTGATGATAATAATCAGATTAAAATTATTGTTTAAAGATTTAAAGAAGAAAATCTTATTCGTTTTTCATCACATCATTTTCGTGTAATAATTGAACTCATCGAATTAATTTTTTTTAGAAAATAAATGTTTTATTTTTACCCTTTTCCTTTATGCTATTTTCCATGGATCCAAGACTATGAAACTCACAATCCACCTTCACACTTCAAAGTAAATTTTGTTTCTTAAAAAAATGTAGTATGCTTTGAAAGATTTGTGAAAGAAAAGTGGAGGGAAATTGAGATTTGCAATACAAAACAGCATTGGAACCAGAAGCTTTGAAAATCCATAGTCATTAGCCAATTGGTCAATCGACGATAAGGCGTAAACCAAACAGCCATTCCAACTTACAGCCTTGAGTCATTTTCAAATATTTACCTTTCGCTTTCAGTTCAAAAAAGACATAAATACATGGCATGAAACCTATGCCTTTATTATTCCAAATCCGTCATTGACAATCCCATTTTCGCTCTAAAAGCTACCCCTCCTTTGCTCTGTAACTTAAGACTGTATTTATATATATTCCTGCTCTCCTCTTCTTTTAACCACATATTTTTGAATGTTTCATGTATTATATTCCATTTCCCCCTGTTTGTAACTCTCTTGGTTTCACTCTTCTTCTTATTCTTTGATGGGTTGCATTTGATGCATTGGTTAGGTACGGTGGGTAGATAGACCTGTGTTTTCTTTTCTTCTGGAGTTGCTTCTCTCTTTTAACACGGCGTTTCAGGCTGATAAATTGGGATTCTTTCGCATAATCCAAATTGCTACAAAAGTGAAGCGAAGGTAACCCGTCATAGATTTTTCTTCTTTCATTGTGTTCTATGTTTTCTGAATTCTTAATGATTTGTCATGCTCGTGCTGTTTTCCGAGTACGAAAATGAAATGTACGTCATTTCTGTGTTGTTTCGTTTAGATCTCAAGTCCAAAGATTTTTTTTTCACTAACCAGTTTAGAATATCAGTTTTAAGTCCTTCAGACAGGTTGTTATTGTACTTTCTTTGATTGCTCCTTTCTTTCACATGTGACACTAATTCTGTATCAAATTTACTTGTTTTTTCCTGAACTTTTTGGATCTAGGAAATGGTTTCATTGTTTGCTTCTATTATACAATAATCACATCTTTCCTTGCGTGGTGTGTGCAGTATTATATTCTCATTTACTTTACACCGTATGTTAATTTGCTGCCATTGGTTTCGTGTAAAGTGATTATTCTTCTCTGTGTTGAGTAGTTCCTCCAAACGAGGGCATATTAAGCTTATCCGGTCTTTAATCAAGTTCGAATTCATTTTGTCTATTTATTGTGTTTCCTGAATGAAGACCAGATGGAAGAACAAATCGACTTTCGAAACTGGGATGAACTAATTCCCGATGCACTCGGGTTAATCTTCAGCAACCTGTCCCTACAAGAGGTGCTAACAGTCATTCCCGGTGTCAGCAAATCCTGGAGAAAGGTTGTCACAGGTCCCTATTGTTGGCAAGAGATTGACATTGAAGAGTGGAGCAATCGATGTCAGCCGATCATCTCTATCGGATCCTTCGAATGCTCATCACTCGAAGCACCGGATCTCTTCGCAAGCTATGTGTTTCGGGCCTACACAACGATTCCATTTTCTCCTTCATCACAGAGAAGTAAGTGTGGTAAAATTATAGATGCTTTGCTGTCATTAAAACTTAGCTTTGTAGACATCAATTTTTTTCATTTTAAATTTAAATTTATTATTATTATTAAAATTATTATTATTAAAATTATTATTATTATTAATATTATATATTATTTATTAAATATTACAAAGCCCAAAGCTGAGGCCCATATACAAATCCCGAAACCCAAATCATAGCCCAAATACAAACCCCAGGCCCAACCAGAACCGGCCTAGACCAGATAGAAACCCTAAACATTTAAGATTTTAGTTAGAGTTTCTAAACCCTAGAACTGATGTCGCTGCCTCAAGTTTCCAGAAGATCCCAGTTGCCGCCTCCAGATGCTGCCAGATGCCACAACACCCTGTTGTCGATGCCTTGCTGCCATGACGCCGCCTCAAGGAAGACTCCAGAATGCCAGATGGCAACCAACAACCATCCCTACGGTGAGTCACCAGCCTAGCTTTGGTGACTCACCGAGGTTTCCCTCTCAGGAGCGGTCCAAACAGAACTCCGTGGTGGCTATAAAAGCCACCGAATCCTGCAAAAGAAGGAGAGCAGACACAGAGCAAGAACAACAGAAAAGAACAGAAAAAAAAACAGAGAACCACGAGAGCAACTAAGAGAACAGAAGCCAAACGACACACAACAAATAAACCCACAACAGCAAAGAAAGAAGAGATAAGGGAACTTACCACCGAGGAGCCTCTACGAGCCACCAGAAACCGAAACGTTTAAGAAAAAGATCCTAGATCTACAACGATTGGTAAGAGTTTAGGTTAAAAAAACATTAGATTCGGGTATAGAAAAATAAAGACTTCAATTTAAGGGGGGTTTTGTAATTTTCGGCCACCGGATACGATGGCCGGCGGTGGTGTTGGCACCGGAGCAAGGCGGCCGGCCGATTTCCTTCATCGGAGAAGGCAGAGAGAATTTTTATCTCTCTTTTTAGAGAGAAAAAGGAAAGAAGAAAATGAAAGGCTTAAAGCCATTCTCAGCCGATTAATGGGTATTTAAACCACTCCCCGAACGACGTCGTCTTGGGGATGGGGTATCTCTGTAATTACCATCAAGGGTAAAACCCTTTTCGTGACCTTTCTATGTTTATATCTTTACACTTTGGTCACTAAAATCAATTATTGAGCCTTTCAATTCGGTATTTAAATTTTATTTTCTTTACATTTTAGTCCTTACCCGTAATTATACATATTTACGGTAAATACCTAATTAGTCCCTGGTAATTTTAATAAATTTTATTTTAATCCCGTGTATATTATTAAGGCTAAATTACACTGTAGGCCTCTGGATTTTATGATATTTTGAAGTAGAGTACTAAGTTTAAATATTCTACATTTTAACACTATATTTTTAATTTATTTTATTTTAATCATTATTTATTTACAATATTATTACTTTTATTTTTCAATTATTGCTTTAATTATTATTTTATTATTATCTTAGTCATTTAAATATATATAATAAATAATATTTATTTATTTATTTTATTTGTTTTTTATGAAATAAAAATCCTATTTATGAACTAGATATGTTTAATTTTATTTTATTATTAAGTTTTAGTTATTTATTTATTTTTAAATATTGAAGGAAAGAGCTGTCTTAAAACAACTAGAAGCCCTTTTCTAATATTTTTAAATAAATAAATATCTTACTATATTAAAATAATGTTTTATTATTATTTATTTATTTTTTAATATAAAAAGAAAGAGCTGTCTTAAAGTACCTAGAAGCCATTTTCTGATATTTCTAAATAAATAAATATGTTATATATATATATATATATATATTCTTTAAATTATAAATAACAGGATTATAAATTAAATATATCTTTGAATTTTTAATAATAGAGACAATTTATAATTAAAAAGTACCAATTTTGGGCGTTGTAGGGGTGCTAATCCTTCCCTAAACGTAACTGACCACGAATCCCTTTTTATTATTAAAAAGAATGAATTTTTGGTTAAAACGCAGATCAGTTTATCTTTTAATTGATGTTTCTTAAAAACTCTTTTAAATGATGATTTTTAGGTATTCGACCTACCTGACCCAAAAGACCGATGGCGACTCCCAAATTATTTTAAAAACCATTTATTCACATCACTTTTCCCGCCAAGTAAAAAATTCGTGCCCGGACGAAAACCGATTACAACAGCTTGGCAACTCCGCTGGGGATTTTTTCAAGCTTTTAAAATCAATTATAAATTGTCTCTATTAATTATAAATTAAAAATTCATATATTTAATTTATAATTCTTTCTTTTCAAATTTTTTATATATACTTATTATTTTCATAGTATTTATATATATATTATTTTATTAATATTTCATTTTATTTGCAAGCATTTTATTTCATTATTTATTTTTCTGTTAGAGGTTTGAATATTTCTCCTCACACACAACACTTGCATTGCATAACATAAAGCTCTATAATTGAGTTTGTCCCTTTTAAGTGGGAGTGAAAGCGACGTCTTCGTGAGAATTTATTCTCCGTGTCAGACCTAGCAAGTAACTTTCGGGGTTCATATGATCTATGTCTTCGTGAGAATTTATTCTCCGTGTCAGGCATAGAGAAATGTGTCCCATCGAATTGAACTCGATCCACTTAAGTCTGTGATGGACTAGGATTGAGGGTTTGATAGCCCAAGGGGGGCATCGACAAGGACAATTCGAGTACCTTTACTCTTAGAACTGAAACCTTGCATATAATAAACCCTAAAAATTCTCCTGACCTAAGACTGTACTGAACCTCTGTCCATAGGTATACACAAAGGAGAAATAAGCTCTAGCTTTTAATTTATTTAATTTATTATTTTTCTCTCTGAATAAATGCCTGCGAACTAGTAAACATGATGTTAGGTTAATTTTTCCAAACAAAGCATAGAACTAGAAAGCATGAGGTTAGGATATATTATATACCATGATAGGTAGAATATTTTCTTTTCATTAATTGGTACTAACCAATTTATTTTTTCCCTTCCCATTTTTATTTTTCATACATTTTGTTTTGCTCTAACATTTTTATATTGATTTCTTTCGTTTGCATTGCATGATCATATCATAACCAAAAGGTGTTAACTGGAAAGACTGTTCATCAAATTGGAAAGAAATCATAAATGGACAAAAAAGTTTTATGATCGAACAAAATATGACGCAACCGTGGAATGGCATCCTGAGGGAACTCCGAGGATAGAGGAGAGCTATGCACCCAAAGATCGTATGCCCAATAAAGATCAAAAGGAGATACGCGAGATAAAGAGAGCAGATGTCCAAGATGATGGAAAGAATATCTGTTTTTGCCAAAGGAAAAGAGATTCTGGCACAAATAGAGACAGTCGTCATTCGTATTCACAAGTTATCTGGAGATACCCAGGAAATGGTGACAACTGTAAAAATTCCCAGAAATGAGAAGAAATCATGTAATCTGAAGTCGTCAAAGTTTAGTCTGCTCATGACATCTAAAAATCAGGTTCAATCCAAGACAAAAGGCGGTTCTTATTTTGATGTTATCCCTATATCATATAAGGAGTTATATAAAAAGCTACTTGAAGCGCAAGAAGTGGCCCCGTACTACATAAAACCGTTCCAACCTCCATATCCGAATTGGTATGACATCAACGTTTATTGTGAATATCATGCCGGAGCTCAAGGACATACTATTGAGAATTGTCTTGCCTTCAAACGTCGAGTCCAAAGTCTTTTGGATCATGGAACCTTACAATTTATGGTAAATGATCGACCTAGTTTGGTAACTGAAGGTCCTGCTGGATTAATACCAAAAGTCTTCAAAGGTAAGAGTATCAGTAGGGGCGCCCAGAGAGAATAAGATTTGATGATGTTTGAGGCTCAAATACGTCATTTAAAGATTGAAAACGATAAATTGAGCACCAAAATGGAAACCATACATGAAGATTTCCAGAAGGTCAGTCAAGCCTTTCAAAATGCTGGCATAGGAAACACCCCAGAAGAGTGGATAACAGGGATCACCAAACTGAAAAAGAATTACAACATAAATGAAGGACGGGTCAAGAAGCTTTCTCATGATTTACGATTTGCAGAAGAAAGACTCAATACAACTGTCATGAAATCGAGAAAATATCAAGTCGACAATCAAATGTTGAATAGTGCTATGACCAACATGGAAACATCATATCAGATTCATCAGCATGAAATTGATAATGAATTAAAAGTTACTATCGACAAGAACAAGACATTGAAGAAATGTTTAGATGATTATGGAGATCTTGTACGAGAACTTTTGGAACATAAAGATTCTCTCACAAGAAAAAATGAACAATATTGTTTACAACTTCGAGAGTTAATGCAAAAGATGAAGGAAAAAGACAATATCATGAAGGAAGCTGATGTTCAAGCAAACAATGTGGCTCATAAGTTGGTGGACATAGCTGGCTTCGCAAGAGAATTAAAGCAGATTGAGAACTCCACACCTGAGCATGAGTGGAAGTTAGTTTGGCTTTTAAGGGAAATAGAGAAGTTAGGAGTGAAAGCTATCCCCTACATGTAAAAGTTTTGTTTGATGTACCAAAGTTTTTGTGTTCAATGAAATCTATTCTAAGATGATCACTCTTGAGTAACACATTTTTATACATTTACATTTTTGCATCTTTGCATTTTTCATTTTGTATTTATACTTTTATGTTTACATCTTTGAAATGCACATTTTGCATTCTTATTTTTGGCATTTATGCATTTTCGCATTTACATTACATTTTTTTTATTTAAATATTGTTATATACTTTAATTATAAAAACATGTAAATAATTCATGAAAGGTTATGTAACAGTAAAAACCAAGACCATTCATATTACTTTACCATCATCATGAAAACAATGGAGCAATCTTATGAGGGACTACAAGATCAATGGCCAGAATAATTGACAGGGTTACCTCAGGATATAAGGAAAGAAACATTAGATTCAGTACCAGATGGATCAAATTAAATAATTCAGTATGTGGCATATGATAAAGAAGAGATAATTGATAAAGAGCAACCATGCTGTCAGATTGAAGAGTCGAAAATGGTAAAACCCTCTAGGGCATCCTAATTGAACCCAATGAATAGCCTTGTTCATTATTCACAATATGAGGAAATATTCAAGAGGATGGATGAAGCAATCAAAAATATGAAATGTGTTGATACTTCCCACAAAGAACTAGAAGCAAGAGATCTCAGCTTGGTTCCACACTTGGTTATTCCCCATGATTTCAAAATGCCAAATTTTGAAAAATATGATGGCACCAGTTGTCCCTTAATCCATTTGAGAATGTTTTGCAGAAAAATGGAAGGATATTTAAGTTCTGATGATATGTTAATTCACTCTTTCCATGATAGCCTTGTTGGCCCAGCAGTAGTCTGGTATAATCAGTTGACACAAGAATAGATCAAGAGATGGGTTGATTTAGCTGATGCATTTTTGGAACAATATCGGTATGTTAAAGGCTTAACTCTAACACGTATGGATCTTCGAAGAGTAAAGAAGAAAACCAATGAAAGATTTCAAGAATATGCCTTAAGATGGAGAGGAGTGGCAGCACAAGTTCAACCTCCCATGTTAGAAGAAGAGATATCACGTATGTTTCGTGATTCCCTTCCAGCGCCTTTCTTCGAGTTAATGCAAGCAAACCCGACGAAGGAATTTGAGAATCTTGTGACAAGTGGAAAATTAATTGAGAATGTAATCAATGAAGAAAACTCAAAAGTCACATCCAGGAGCCCGACTAATCAAAAAGAAAAAGATGATCATGTGAATGAGTGTCGCATCCAGAGTCCTCGCAATTGCGAAAGAAAAAGAGCGAGTAACTGTTCGGATCGACCAAAGAAAGTTATGCGATCAAGAAAAACTTTGGAAGTGTTCCAAACTTCCATTTCATACTTGTATCCTCATTTGGTTAAAGGTCAATACATCACACCAAGACCAACTAAAGTGACATCAAACCCTTCTACTCATAGCTATGATCAAGATAATGTTTGTAATTTCCACTTGGGGGTAAAGGGGCATTCTACAGGCAATTGTAGGCCATTGTTAAAAGAAATTGAGATGCTTGTTGACAAAGAGGTTTTGACACAAGAAATGATCAAGAAATGGGGGCGAATGAAGAAAATAACCCTGATCCTATTACATACCCAACATTATAGGAATAATGAGGCATGATGCATAAACAAGTGGAAGTGTTATCTACCACTGTAGTACTTTCTATTTTCAGCATCTTGTTTGAACTTGTTTTTTTGTTTGTTCCTTTCTCCACCTTTTGTGCAATAAATAAATGTGTATTGCTTTTATGGTTATGAGCAAGGAATCAAGTTTTAACCTTGAGATTATTGAGTATCAAGTAAATTAAATATTCTTTTAATTTTTCAAGAATTATAGATCTTTGGCAAGTGATAAAAGTATACCTTCCATCCAATGCCAATTACTTGATCCTTACTAAAGACCAAATTTTGACCGTATATTTATCTGAGACTCTGAAGAATGTCTCTACCTGTTCTTGAGACACCTACTCCAGATGTTTACCTTTTCGGGTAGAGTTGATCGATTCATTATGTTACATTCCACCATAAGTCACACATTTGTCCTTCCAAATACAAAACCATCATAAACCAAAACACCTCAAAAGAACCAAACTTTCAATTATCCGGGAATCTTCCTTCAAGAAGAGACGATATGAGGCATCATGAATCAACTTATTGAAGATGATTTCGAGTGATTAGGGCATACTCAAGAAGAAGGAAAAAGTGATTAATTGAAATAAATATATCATGCATTAATTACATTTTTTCATGTAAGTAATGTTAATCTTGAATATTCATCCCCCTGGAGATACCTCTTTTTTACAAGGACTTCTATGTATGAGATGACTAAACTTTGCGCACAGATCAAGCACGCCAACTCAGTGTCATATCACCCAAAGATGAATAGGGCATTTGCAGGAGCAAATAAGAACCTCAAGAGGATCATTACAAAAACCACTGAAGCTTACAAAGATTGGCACGAGAAGCTAACTTTTGCCTTATATGCATATTGAATTACTGTGTGAACATTTACTGGGGCAACACCTTATTGTTTAGTCTATGGGATGGAAGCAGTATTACCAATTGAAGTTGAGATCCCATCATTTTGTATCCTAAAGTAGGACAAATTGGAGAAGACTGAATGTATCCAAGCTCGATTTGATCAATTAACCTTATTGATGAGAATCAATTGAAAGCTATTTACCATGAGCAAATACATTAGAAACAGATGATGAAAGATCACATCCTAGAGAGTTCCAAGAGGGTGATTTAGATGTGATCTAGTGTTTAAAAAGATCTTGCCTATACATAAAGATTTCCGTAAGAAATGGATGTCTAATTGGGACGGATTAAATATTGTAAAAAAGGTATTTTCCCGAGAAGCGTTGATCTTGGCAAAAACGGATGGGAAAGTTCTGAGAAACCAAATAAACTCAGATTCTGTCAAGAAATATTATACTTGAAGAAGAAAAAAGGACAAAAAGGAAAAGGAGGTGTTCAAAGCAATTGAAGTCTTATACTCATCCAGCAAAGAAAGAAAAAGGAAAAAGAAAGAAAAAAGAAAAAAAAAACAAAAAAAAGAAAAAAAGAAAAAAAGAAAAAAATGAAAAAAAAAATGAAAAAAAGAAAAAAAAGGAGAAATTGAATCAAGATAGGTGACTCATGGAGCCTCAAGTTACAAAATGGATCGAGTACAATTAAGTCAAAGATTCATATTCAAACAAGAAGAGCAATAAATGATGAAGATATGAGAAAATGGAAATTAACCCAAAATTTGGCAATCTAGAGGGATCCAGAGGATGAAAAAAATCCCCAGCAAGGCATATCTAAGTCAAGCAAAGCAAGACTGAAGGCATCTAAAGAGAATATCTTCAGAATTCATTCCGCCTCTCAAGATTGATTTTTATTTGCAAAAAATTGGTTTTTAAAATCTTTAATGCATGATATGAAAAATGATAAAAGGGGGGGTTCAAGATGTAAATTTTTAAATAACATCTTAGAACCAAAGGAGGATTCGAGTTGAAAACCTGAAAAGGCGGCTCGAATATTGAATGGTGCAACAACGACATAAGAGATGATCTTAAGCTCTTAAATGAAGCACCGCACATCCCAAAAGACGTTCCTGAGATTCTAGAATCAAGAAGTATCTCTACAAGATGATCATAACAATCATTTCTTCAAGTTAGTGGATACTGAACCAACTTGAAAGAACCTTACTTTACCAGAATCCACCTACACCTTAAATCAGTCAATAATTTTGACACTTGCCATGGGAATATGATTTTTGAATGATTTAAAAGTGTAGTTGATTTATTTGATATTCATTAAACTCATTGTTTATGATTTGATTCTATTGTGAACTTGAGAAGTGCATTACTTTGCAAAATTCTTTCATTCTTCGATAAAGAAAGGAAAAAAAAACATTTTCAAACAGGACAGTCTCAAATGAGGAAGGTCCTTGAAGCAATTGTTGCTTATTCTACCCCTGTTGTAGAAAAAGAATGAACGAGGCCAAAATGATGAAGCACTTCACATTTTTTAAGGCAAGTGGTCCAAGAAGCCAGAAAGTTTGAAGAATTGAACTAGTGACACTCTCCTATGACATTATTAGCAAATCATCAAGAAAGATTATCGCTTATTTCATGCTGAGGGTGATAAGCATCACCAGACAGGTTATTTTCCCCAACCATCAATCCATGTTCTCTAGAATATTACATCATAGAGCCATGAACAAGTCACTACCTGCACTCTGGTTATACCGTGATGCTAGCTCAAGTCTTGATACATCATTGCTACTTCTTCTATGTCGATCATTTTCTTTGTCAAGATGATATCCATTATGTCCTTCAGAAGATTGCTGAATTTGAATTTGAGGACTTATGGCACAGAATAGGACATTGGAACAGAATCTACCCTTATAGGCATTTTATATAGGGTAATATTGGTTACAAGATTCCAAAAGTTGAAGATAATCAGTTTTACCGTCAATTAAATTGTTCCATGATTCGAAAAGAGTGGGATATATTGGAGCAGCAGAAGAGACAGTTGTCATAGCAGTCATTGCAAGAAAATGCACCAACAAAAATCTTCTAATTCATCCTGATGATGTTTATTTCTTCCAGTAAGGTTGTTACGCTGGATGCCACCGACAACAAGGTCGAATTAGACAAATCTACTCATCAATTACTCCAACCGATCATCATTCAGTTCTTGCACATCTGTTTTCAAATATATGCCAAGACAGTAGAAGTCGACCTCTGCATCACTGATCCAAAAAAAAGACAGGACATTGATATCACCGAAGAACTTGTCTCTAGCAGCTCCTCATGTATGGTTTTTAGGGAAACCTAGAAGCATTTCCACCTCATCAGGTTCAAGTGGAGTATCTTTATTCCTTCAAACCCATACCAGATTCCATTTTCAGCACTCATCAAGAACATACTTCTGGACACTCGAAGGTGGCTCATCGTCATAAGCTTCAAGAGCCTTACAGTTCCTTTTTGTCAATTTGGCACTTCATGTACATGTTTGTAAACAGTTCAACTTTGTTCTTGGATCCCAGGAAGGTCACCAGTTTGTTGTCAATGGAAAACGCATCATGTATGGTGCAATGAGTAAGTAGAATAAGAGGAAATTTGTTCTCGATTGGCAGATTATGAATATAACCCTGTTTCAGGGCAGTAGCATAAAAATTCTTCGAATCTACAAATTTTGGCTCTACATCGAATAAGTACTGTGATATTTCAGTCCAAAAATTAATTGGAGCAAGTGCCACGTTCTCGTAGTAGAAATAAGGAGACTCAATAGTATCTTCTGGAAGTATTCTTTGAGTTATCTGATCTGGTTTGGTATGAACCCCAAAACCAATCATTAGATTTGAAAGATGAATTTGCTCATAGTAGAAATAAGGAGACCCAATAGCATCTTCTGAAAGTGTTCTTTAAGTTATCTGATCTGGTTCGGTAGGAACCCCAGAACCAATCATTAGAATTGAAAGATGAACTGCATGATCGTCTTCATTAAGAAGCTTCTTTTCAAGCTTCCTCTGATTCTTCCTTTTCTAAATATCATAGCCCAATTTTCTCATTTACTTGTAATTGGGATCATTGTACCAGAAGAAGTACATCAGTAGCCTTAACCATTTGAGCAGCATATATAAAATTTGTCAACTCTGTAATTGGTGAATTCAGACCACATCTCTCCATGGATATTGAAGCCTCAACCTCTGAATATCCTATTTTTGTCAAGTATAACAGTTTATTCTCTTCATCAGAATCAGAATTCAGGATTTCCTCGGTATCAGAAAGAACTATCAATATCTGTGAAATCATCCTGAAAGATCGCTTCATAATCAGATGAGTTGTTATCAGAATCAACATGCTACATGGGTGTGAATTTTTAAGAGCCTATATATGTAGTCTTGCTATTGCATCAGATTACTGTTCGCATAAATTGGTTTCTCTCCAACAGAAAAGTATATTTCAGATATGGCCTTCACTGAAAGATGATAAGCCACTCTATCAGTCTAGAACGAATTACCAAGCTATTTATACTGCTCTGTCTGACTAAATCCCTCCAGATACAGAAAATGGTCACCTCATTCAGAATACACATATCTCAGACATTTCTGTCATAATGGTGACCACAGTGCATTATCAAAATTGAACCTTGTAGGGATCATGATATTCAAGTCAAACAGACATCGAGAGTAAACCAGAAATAGAAAATTGAGGCATCTCGAAAGCCCAATTCAGACAGATCTAGAGGGATATATTGAGGGCCCATTTCAATCAGAAATAGAATATTGGGGCATTTTGAAAACTCACAACAATATGAATATTTGGGCATTCTTGGAGGCTCATCTCAACAAGAAGTAATGTTGAGCACACTTTTAACATCTGTATCAGCAAATGTTGGGGCATTTTAAAGGTTCCTTCAGACAGATACATGTGGGGCATTTTGAAGGCTCATATTAACAAGAAGCAAATATCGGGGCATGCTGAAAGCCCATTTCAATCAGAATTAGGACTGTTGATGCATTTTTGAACGTTCGTATCAGCAAATGCTAGGGCATGCTGAAGGCCCACATCATCATGTGTTAAAAATCATTGACTTGAGCAGATATTTCCAATGAGACATAAAAATATGAAGAATGAAAATGGTGAAATAATAACAGTCAATCTGATTACACATAATTGATTCGTTCATCAGGCAGTTGCATTAGGGTCCTATTGTTGAACAAATATCTACTCAACAAGTATGGTTTCAAATACCCAATCTTATTAAACCATGTGTCACATGACAATGTGTTATTTGATAAACTACATCATGATTGCATGAATAAAGATGATCCCCGGGTAGACTACTCGATCCAGGGTTCAGTTCCTCAAGATCTCAGCTTTGAATTTTGTATTATGTGTGTCGGTGATGATTGGAAATATTTCTTTGAGATTCCTGGCAGTTAGTTTCAACCATACTGTTGGGATTACGAAGTTGTTTTTCACAATAGTTTTCGCTTAATCGATGACATTGGAAAGGGAGACTCGACTCACTTACATTACTGTTATTCCCGCTATTACTGTGGTTATCATTGCCAGTCAGACTGAACTGATTTTTTTTTTATCTATTTTGGGTTTTATCAAGTGTGTTTCATCCACAGCAGCAAGAAATCCACGGATATTTTTCTGTACATGGATCCTATAGCTGAAGTGTTTCTAATTTCTACAATGCTCATTATAGAAGAAAATGTGATCAGTATTACACTTGCCCTTGCCCGAGATGATATCGAGATTAATTAGTGTCTCATATTCAATTCGACACCAGCATATTTGGCGAATTTGACCAACTTTTTGGTCATACCAGTATTTCACTTGTATTCCCATTGAGTTTTGTTCTCAAGTGGTCTTGTGACATCATACAAAAACTTTCAACACCATGCAAAGAGCTTCATTGACAAGCAATTCAAGCAGAAGCCACAGGAGATGAAGAATGTGTTGTCAAATGTTTTATGAACCAGTGATTATGGTGTTGAACCAATGTTGTTATCATATGGTTTTCCTTTATTGATATAAGATGAAGTTTGTCTTCTTCAACCCCAAGATTAAAAATTAGATATAATGAAGATTTCTTTCCACAGAAAGAGAGCTGAAATTTTAACAACAAGAAACTAGTGGCGCCAACTAAGGTTGAACGACAGGTTGTTGTTAAGCATCTCGACATGATATGGTCCAAGTTGCCTTATTCGAGATTTGATTATATGTGGAGACATGAAAGAAATTTGAATAAATCTTCCTTGTGATGTGTTTCAAGAGTTAAATTAGAACAGACTCTACTCTCCTAATTAATCCCTGCTGAGTCAGGCATATCTACATCTACACTCTTCAAAGATGATAGATTCTCTTTTCAAAGATGATAGATTCTCTTTTTAAAGATGATAGATTCCCTTTTCAAAGATGAAAGCTTTATTGGATTTCTACACAAATCCAGACAAAGAAAGCCGGTGTTACCAAAGGCAAAATGGGGCATCAAAGTCATAGTTCTGACTACGGCAAGAGTTCCACAAATAAAACATTTCTTCTAAGACTTAAATAAAACAAAGAAGGCACCAAGATACAAGTTGATCAGATGATTCTACAGAAATACAAGCTTGATAGCATAAGTTTCTACACTGATATCCAGAGGTGACCCTGGCAATAAATGATGAAGTGAAGGAAGACCAAGTTCACCACTTTGAAGTCAAATGAAGATTGCATCAACATTCATGCATTCATAAGAATATCATTTACAAAATAGACAATGCATTACATTGATACATCTGAGTGCATTCAAACATGGCGTTTTACAGATCTTCGGAAGAACAAGAAGATTCATGGTAAAAAATACCTTACAAGAAGAAGGTGTTCAAAACCGCAAATACAGGAATCACACCAACATATGAAGAATAGATGGACGCAATCCATAAGAATGAGCATTATCTTGAGATTGGGGCATGTTACCCAATCAACATGTTATTTCAAAAAATAATGAGAAAATGATTTCCATAGTTTCTCATTCAATCTTTTCTAAAATTGAAATTGTTGAAAAGTAAGAAAACGATTTCTTTAGTTTTTTTACTTAGTAAACTATTTCCCACATCTGTAAGTCCTACAGTGCATGATGTTTCCAAAAACCCTTCGGGAGCTTTTTGATGTTTTCAAAACCTTAGGGTCATCTGTAAGTCCTACAGTGCATGATGTTTCCAAAAAACCTTCGGGAGCTTTTTGATGTTTTCAAAGCCTTAGGGTCATCTGTAAGTCCTACAGTGCATGATGTTTCCAAAAAACCTTCGGGAGCTTTTTGATGTTTTCAAAGCCTTAGGGTCATCTGTATGTCCTACAGTGCATGATGTTTCCAAAAAGCTTTCGGGAGCTTTTTGATGTTTTCAAAGCCTTAGGGTCATCTGTAAGTCCTACAGTGCATGATGTTTCCAAAAAGCCTTCGGGAGCTTTTTGATGTTTTCAAAGCCTTAGGGTCATCTGTAAGTCCTACAGTGCATGATGTTTCCAAAAAGCCTTCGGGAGCTTTTTGATGTTTTCAAAACCTTAGGGTCATCTGTAAGTCCTACAGTGCATGATGTTTCCAAAAAGCCTTCGGGAGCCTTTTGATGTTTTCAAAGCCTTAGGGTCATCTGTAAGTCCTACAGTGCATGATGTTTCCAAAAAGCCTTCTGGAGCTTTTTGATGTTTTCAAAGCCTTAGGGTCATCTGTAAGTCCTACAGTGCATGATGTTTCCAAAAAGCCTTCAGGAGCTTTTTGATGTTTTCAAAGCCTTAAGGTCATCTGTAAGTCCTACAGTGCATGATATTTCTAAAAAGCCTTCGGGAGCTTTTTGATGTTCTCAAAGCCTTAAGGTCATCTGTAAGTCCTACAGTGCATGATATTTCCAAAAAGTCTTCGGGAGCTTTTTGATGTTTTCAAAGCCTTAGGGTCATCTGTAAGTCCTACAGTGCATGATGTTTCCAAAAAGCCTTCGGGAGCTTTTTTATGTTTTCAAAACCTTCGGGTCATCTGTAAGTCCTTCAGTGCATGATGTTTTCAAAACCTTCGGGTCATCTGTAAGCCCTTCAGTGCATGATGTTTTCAACATTTCTATCCTGTTCAAAAGAAGCCAAATGAAAAAATTATTATCTTTTTCTTCTTTGCTCTATTCTTGTTAACACAAGGATGAGCAAAGAGGGGCAGCTGTAGACATCAATTTTTTTCATTTTAAATTTAAATTTATTATTATTATTAAAATTATTATTATTATTATTATTAATATTATATATTATTTATTAAATATTACAAAGCCCAAAGCTGAGGCCCATATACAAATCCTGGAATCCAAATCACAGCCCAAATACAAACCCCAGGCCTAACCAGAACCGGCCCAGATCAGATGGAAACTCTAAACATTTGGGATTTTAGCTAGGGTTTCTAAACCCTAGCACTGATGCCGCCGCTTCAAGTTTCCAGAAGATCCCAGCTGCCGCCTCCAGATGCTGCCAGATGCCACAACACCCTGCTGTCGACGCCTTGCTGCCATGACGTCGCCTCAAGGAAGACTCCAGAACGCCAGATGGAAACCAACAGCCATCCCTACGGTGAGTCACCAGCCTAGCTTTGGTGACTCACTGAGGTTTTTCTCTCAGGACCGGTCCAAACAGAACTCCGTGGTGGCTATAAAAGCCACTGAATCCTGCAAAAGAAGGAGAGCATACACAGAGCAAGAACAATAGAAAAGAACAGAAAAAAACAGAGAACCACGAGAGCAACTAAAAGAACAGAAGTCAAACGACACACAACAAATAAACCCACAACAGCAAAGAAAGAAGAGAGAAGGGAACTTACCACCGAAGAGCCTCTACGAGCCACCAGAAACCGAAACGTTTAAGAAAAAGATCCTAGATCTACAACGATTGGTAAGAGTTTAGGTTAAAAAAACTTTAGATTCGGGTATAGAAAAATAGAGAATTCGATTTAAGGGGGGTTTTGTAATTTTCGACCACCGGATACGGTGGCCGGCGGTGGTACTGGCGTCGGAGCAAGGCGGCCGGTCGATTTCCTTCATCGGAGAAGGCAGAGAGAATTTTTATCTCTCTTTTTAGAGAGAAAAAGAAAAGAAGAAAATGAAAGGCTTAAAGCCATTCTCAGCCGATTAATGGGTATTTAAATCCCTCCCCGAACGACGTCGTTTTGGGGATGGGGTATCTCTGTAATTACCATCAAGGGTAAAACCCTTTCCGTGACCTTTCTATGTTTATATCTTTACACTTTGGTCACTAAAATCAATTATTGAGCCTTTCAATTCGGTATTTAAATTTTATTTTCTTTACATTTTAGTCCTTACCCGTAATTATACATATTTACGGTAAATACCTAATTAGTCCCTGGTAATTTTAATAAATTTTATTTTAATCTCGTATATATTATTAAGGCTAAATTACACTGTAGGCCTCTGGATTTTATGATATTTTGAAGTAGAGTACTAAGTTTAAATATTCTACATTTTAACACTATATTTTTAATTTATTTTATTTTAATCATTATTTATTTACAATATTATTACTTTTATTTTTCAATTATTGCTTTAGTTATTATTTTATTATTATCTTAGTCATATAAATATATATAATAAATAATATTTATTTATTTATTTTATTTGTTTTCTATGAAATAAAAATCCTATTTATGAACTAGATATGTTTAATTTTATTTTATTATTATGTTTTAGTTATTTATTTATTTTTAAATATTGAAGGAAAGAGCTGTCTTAAAACAACTAGAAGCCCTTTTCTAATATTTTTAAATAAATAAATATCTTATTATATTAAAATAACTTTTTTAATTTTTTATTTAATATCAAAAGAAAGAGCTTTCTTAAAGTACCTAGAAGCCCTTTTCTGATATTTCTAAATAAATAAATATGTTATTTAAATATATATATATATATTCTTTAAATTATAAATAACAAGATTATAAATTAAATATATCTTTGAATTTTTAATAATAGAGACAATTTATAATTAAAAAGTACCAATTTTGGTCGTTGTAGGGGTGATAATCCTTCCCTAAACGTAAACGACCACGAATCCCTTTTTATTATTAAAAAGAACGAATTTTTGGTTAAAACGCATATCAGTTTATCTTTTAATCAATGTTTTCTTAAAAACTCTTTTACAGGATGATTTTTAGGTATTCGACCTACCTGACCCAAAAGACCGATGGCGACTCTCAAATTATTTTAAAAACCATTTATTCACGTCACTTTTCCCGCCAAGTAAAAAATTCGTGCCCGGACGAAAACCGGTTACAACAAACTACTTGCACATTTAGTAGTTTGAACAGCAATTTCAGTGTATGATAAGATTCCAATCCTAATATTTCAACATGGGAATGGGTGATCATAGTTCAATAGCCACTTTTAATTGATACTGTATTTACATTGTTCTTATTGTTCCTTGCTTTTTTGCAAGTGCTGGTTCCCTTCAGGCTTTGCGACTACGGAGAAGCGAAATGAGTGATTCAATAGTCGAACGAACTGCTGGGAGGCTGTCCTCAATCACTGTTTTGGATTTGAGTTATTGTGGCAAAATTGGTGCCCGTGCTTTAGAGGCCGTCGGTAAGCATTGTACGCTGCTTGTCACCCAGTGCCGCAACATGCACCCGCTGGATGCAGCAGGCAAGCTCTCGCAGGATGACGAGGCGAATGCCATAGCTGCTTCGATGCCTAGGCTCAAGCACCTCGAGATGGCTTACCATCTTATCTGCACAGGGAGTGTTATGAACATCCTTTCTGGTTGTCCCCAGCTTGATTTTTTTGATTTAAGAGGTTGCTGGGATGTTAAACTCGATAATCAGTTCATGAAGGAAAAGTTCCCGAAACTGAAGGTCTTGGGACCCTTTGTCATGGACTACTATGAGATATATGAATGGGATGATGATTGCTCGGACTACTCCGATAGTTCTGAGTATTTGGGTTGGGAGTTTGATGATTACGACATCGACGACGGAACTTGGCAAGGGGAGGGGAGATTTGAGGAACTTGAACTGAGATTCTACGAAGGGAATGGGGAAGAAGAAGGAATGTTGGGTTGGCCTCCATCTCCATAGGATCTTTCATTTGCTTCCAAATCATATGTTTCTTCTATCAAAATGTATCTCATGTTTCAATGTGAACTTTGTTGTATGGGTTCGATTTTCCCAATCATCTAAATAAAAAAGGAAAAAAAGAACGCATTTGTATATAGCTTATAAAAACTAACACAAGAGAGTCGAAATATCTCTCCTCTTACGATGTTTAATTTGTATTAAGTTACACGTCAATCTGAAATATCTCTCCTCTTGCGACGTTGAAATATTGTTTTGTCGTTCAAAACGTAACGTTGCTTTGCACCGCTTAGATCTGTAAAGCTAGTGGCCGCTGCTGCTTTTACTGTTGGCTTGGCCCATTTTATGTAGTGACTCTGACGGATTCAGGGTGATTTCGACGCCCATTCTTTTGAGGTTTAGTGCAGAATGGTCTACATGGCTGAAGATGTGCGTTCCGGTATGGTGACAGCGGCTACAATCACTGTTTGTTTGTTTGTTTTTATGGTTATCGATAATTAAATTAATTTTCATTCAATCCAAGGATTAAATTTTAATAAATTAAAGTAGAATGATCTGTGTTTCAATTTTTATAAAATAAAAAGGTTTAGTTTACGATTAGATCCAAAATAACAAATTAAATAAATTGTATTACAATGCAAATAAGATACTTAGTTTTTTCCCTTATTGCATAATTGAAGTGAGAATAAAAGATGGAGAGAAAAAGCTATTTTGATTTTTACTTTTTTTTATCATCTTTTATTTATTTATTTTCTAAATTTATCAATAACATAATAGATTTTATGAAGTCCTAGAAAGTTTCGTACAACTGGATAAATTATAAAATTCAGAATAGATTTTAGGAGATCCTCGATAAACATAATTGTTCAATCAATTCTATCAATATAATTATTGTGATTTATTAAAAATTATCCGAAAGATCTTATTATTTCATCAATCAAAATTACGACTATATTTTGAATAATTTCTACTTAGGGGAGGGGGAAAGGAGATTTTTGCATCTTTGACGTAAATTTAGATATTATGATATTGTTGAAATATTAAATTTTTTATTTTCAACAATCAAGTATTTATGATATCTTTTTCTTTATTTGGGTCCATCAAACCATCTATCCAAGCTCTCTTAGCTCTATCGAAAGCTCGAACCAAGAAATAAAAATTTGATGAAACAAAAGCATGAATTACCAAGTTTAAGATTTCTGCATTGTATTTAGGAACCTCATAATTCAATTTTCATCGTGATTTCCCCTATCAGACTAAGATCCAAAGAAGATGGCGTCGTATCATCCATGTTGAAGTTAAATAATCCAATATTTCTCTTTATTTTAGCAGTCACATTTTATTGAGCAATTATAGTTGGGTAAAGCATCATAAGATAGACCGATTAGGTCAAAGAACTGGAGAAAATTAACGTGCTAAACCCAACCTACCGTTTTAATATGTTATTTATAACAATAAAAAATACATCAATTACCCTATTAATAACAATCTATTAGATAAAAATATTACTATTATAATCTTAAAACTGTTTCAATAACTAAATCACCCTTAAAAATCCATACACTTTGAAAACCCTAGAGCTACTCGGTTGATATAAATATTATTGTTTGAAAAAATTATTATCATAGTATTCAACTATATATTAGAATTTGAATAGAATAAATATTTTGGATTCAATAATTTTGTACTATTAAACAATTGCATCAAAAACTTGTAATACACATGCGTGCATATACTTAAGGATAAAGTCAAAGAGAACTCCTACAATATTATTTTTGAAAATTATGAAAACAATTATATGTATGAACAAACAATACTTTATTGAATTGAAAGTAATTTTTGATAGAAAAAAAAAAGATCAACTATTCAAATAAACTTGACGGTAATATTTACTTGGTAAGGAACAAGTATTGCCACGGTTAAGATAATATATAAAAAAGCAAAATTATATTACATTTATGATAAGTGAAAAAATATATTATGTATATAACTATATTTTTAAAATTTATTCAACAATGATTATAGATGAAATAAAAAATTATATATACATCTTATTAAACATGTATTTGGTCGTTAATTACATATTTTTTTAATTATTTTACTTTAATTTAAAGATTATATAACATATGTAAAGATAAAATACTATTATAATAATATTAATTAGTATATAAAAGAAAAAGAATTGGTCACTTCTTAACCGAGTTGATAATGAATTAATCATAATTTAAAGTTTATATTTTAGAAAAGTTATTTAACAGTGAACTGACACGTGTGTTTGGGGGGGGGGATTAGGATCTTAGGATGGGTTGAAATTGCATGACGTGGAGGGTAGGTGAGGCTTACTTTGCTTTCCCCACTCTCAACACCACAAAGTCTTGATAAATTTTCCAACCCACCAACATACTAAAGTAAAAGGCAACGCACACTTTTTGTGAGATTGGTGAGGGGTCTTTTTATAATTATACCATTTTTGACTTCTCAACACTTACCAAAAAATATTATATAGGAGTATTAATTGTACGATAATAACAAACTATTATATTGTTTTATAAAATGTCATCTTTAAGTATTGAACTCAATCAGATATAGAATTTAAGTTATAAAGTTTATTTAATATTTACTCAAAATTAAAGTGTTGATTTTAAATGTATAGTTTCATAAATGAAAGTTTAAAAATTTTAAAAACGAAATATTTAAAAAATGTGAAAATACACCATGAGATATATCTAAATTACTAATAAAATTAAAATTATCAGGTTCATGGAAACATAAATTCTTGTGATTTAGTTTTATTTAAAAAATAATATAATGCTAAGAAAAAATCTAAATTAATAAATTATAAATAGGCTTAATGATAAAAGTATTGCTTACGTTTCTACATATAATCCCTTTATTTTCTATTTTTTAAGAACATTTTATTTTAACGTTTTATATTTTGTCAAAACAAATGATGAAAACTATAAGTTGAGTAACAATCAATCCATATTTTTTAAGAACATTTTATTTTAACGTTCATTTATCGGTTTCGGTTTTTTTTTATAATCGTCTTTTGGATTGGTTTTCAGTTATTTTATTGGATCGAATTGGATCTGATCACATTTATTTGATTTGTAGAAGACTCTGCTTCTTTGGGTAATAAAAATTTAATTTATCAAAAAAAATGATAATAATAATCTTAATCTATTCATTTTTCAATATTTTTAATTGAATATATTTTTATATTTGTTATTAAATGTCGTAAAAATTAATTACTATAAAATTTTAATTTTATTTTCAATGAATTGTAAGTAGATGTTCCAGTTTTTTGTTTGTGAGAAATTAATAAAAAGTATCTCAAATAAAAACGCATAGGTGAGAGGCAAAGGATAATTTTAAGAAAATATTATTCCAATTCAGTGACCCTTCCAAGTTTGAACTTTTAAAAGCTTCGGCTTTGCTTGACAGGTGGTTTGTAAATTGTAACGTATTCATTTATTTTGTAACTATTAAATATTAATTGGTCGGTCCTAGCCTTAGCCGAGTGTGTAATTAGGTTTCTATTAAATTTTATATAGAAATTTAACTGATACGTTATTGGCACGGTTAAAATCTATATAGCATGGGTATGACAACTCATCATATCACGTACTCAATACGTCTCTAAAATAGATACGAGATAGGTACTAAATATATATATATATATATATATAGGCAAAACGTTATGAAGAAATGATGCATTAAGTTAATTAAAAAAAATACGAATATATTTGTTGATGTCAGGGATGGAGTCATAATTAAATATTGGTAAAAGCTAAAATATTAGATTATTTAAGAAAAATATAAAGACTTATTAGGTATTTAAACTCGAAATTCAGTATGAACCAAGCGACCTTATTGATTAAGAGATTGTTGTTATCCTTGAGGTGTCGAGTTCAAGCAAGTATTAGGGGTATGAGCGTTATTTTAGTCTAATTATTATTTAAGTCATTGTAAATTTAAATATGAGACAAATTAGAAGTTTTCTTTTGAGTTTTGAGTTTTTTCTTTTTAATTTAGGATGAATACAAGGTACTATTTGTATAAAGACTTTCAACTATTTCATAATTTTGATTGTCGGATGTCTTTCACGGAAGCTGCTCTCAACCTGGCGTTGGGGGCAGCCTACTACCTTACCTCCTCCTCACCCATTACATATGGGAATAATGTCAGCTAATTTATTTATTTTTACATTAACTAAAATACTATTAAACCAAAATTATATTAAATATATAAATTTTAACAGGGGAAACTCGGTCCCTAGTTGATGCATAC